CCACTGAGCTAAAAATGGATGCACCCTTCTTCTTAGCTGGGTTCCTGAAGAGGGAAGGGGACAGCTGCCTTTTCTGTAACTGACTGAATGTCCGAAGAGGGATACTATTTCAACAAGCCCTATAGTGACTATTATAAAGAGCAGGCCCTCAGCGACGGTGTGCGGGCATCTGAGTGTAATGAAGGCAGAGCGTGCCCGAGCAGGCAACAGACCTACGGACCAGCAAGAACAATGGAGAGTGGAGCTGGGAGAAACCCACCCAGGGTGCCCTCAAGCCTGTGGGCCGACCGCAGGAAGTGGTGAGTGCCCAAGGGAAGTCGGCACTTGCCGGGCCTCCGGGTGGGCCTCGGGTGAGGAGGGAGAAGCCCGGCCACAGCACTGGCCACACACACGTCCGTACACGCACACGCACTCAGGACCACGTGCTGTGCTCGCCCAGCACGGATCCACATGCCCTGCTGTTGCTTCTACTTCTACTCCCCAGCTGTCCAGGAGGGGCCTCCCCGGCCCGGATGGTAGGCAGGACTTGTATCTTCCTCTCCCCTTTCCTTTACCAGGTCCTCCAGGAAGGTTTATTCAGTTCATCTGACAGAACTGCAGAGCCCTACTACGTGCTGGGTACCTGGGAAGGTACCTGGAAGGAAAGAGAAGAAGAGGAAAAAAGGGAAACAATGCAGGAGGGAGGAAGGTGGGCACACAGGCAGGAAGGGAGGAACGGCAAGAAGCAGTGTGGCCACGGCACCGTCTTCACGGAAGAGTGTGTGTCTGGAGTGTATGTGGGCGTGCGTGCACGCTAGCCTCTGAATTCTTACTGGACACGAACGCCCCCAAACTCCGCCCCAGGGCAAAAGCACTGCCACACCAAGTAAAGCATTCTCTGACCATCCCGACTTCCAGTCTAGATAAACACCCTTGAACCCGCAGCAGAAGCACCATGGGCAGGGCTGTGGGGCATCCCGGCCGGAAAGCACCGCTTCATGCAGGGGGCCGCCGGCTGAGTGCCACGCCCCTGGACTAGCCACTCGCTGGCTGTGTGACCTTAGGCAAGTGACCTCAGGTGTCTAAGCATCCATTTGGTGGTTAATAAGCTAGAGTGCTGAAAAGTACCTTATGGAGCAGCCCTAAGAGTGAAGAGCGGATGTTATCCACACCGGTACTTCTCAGATGCCCTAGAGGTCTGGCTAAAACAAGGACTGCTGGGCCCCAGCCCCAGAAGCTCTGATTGGCATTTCTAACCTTTCCAGGTGCCACTGGCGTTCTCAAAAGCACCGCGGGTTTCCCCTACAAACCGTAATTCAAGGCAGACCGAAGAGATCCCGCAAGCGCAGAGCTTAAAACAGCACCTGGCAGAGAGTCAGCACTCAGTGCATCTTGGCTGTTGTGTTTCTGAGGCCAGAGGAAAGAGGGGAGCCGCACGATCGGGGGCCCAGCCTGGGGCTTGGACTCTTGGCCAGGCGCTGATTCATATTTGGGGATCTGAGGAGGCCCTTCTAGCCCCAAGGCTGGAATGCTCTTGGTCCCCTTTCCTGCTCCTTCTGTCCCTCCCCTTCCCTCCATGCAGGGCCTGACACCCCACCCTGCCTCCTGGCCTCCCTGCTGTTCACCTCCCCACCCATCTCCCACAAGGCCAGCTCCCCCTCCCTCCACTGTGGCCATATTTCCCCAGCTAACATAGCCTGGCGAGAACCCCAGCGCTCAGCACCCCCAAACCTGCATGGTCCCAGCCTCCCCACTAGCTCCCTCCCCATCCAACATATGGATGGCAGAGTAGGGGAGGCCGCAGGGAGAAGGGGCGCTGGGCAGACATCTCTCTATGCACTCCCAGCTCCTCAGCTCTCACCCCTGGCTCCGCATCCAGCCTGCCAGATCCAGGCCCCCCGCTATTTCCCTGTGGAGGGGTCTTACCACTCTCATTTTCCTTCCTACCCTAGCCACAAGGTACTTCCTGAGCACCTACTCCGTGCTAGTCAGGCCCTGCCCTCCAGGGGCAGCAGTGGGGCTGGATGTTATCCACACCGGTACTTCTCAGATGCCCTAGAGG